GTGTTTCGAACACTTCACCTTTTGATATAATATTATTTTTCTAAATTTTTCAAGAAAATAATTTATCATTTTACTGCTCGAACGTAATGCAGAAAAATTTATATCGTGTTAATTTTAATACCTAATAAGTACTCTGAAAATTGTTTCTATGACAAACAGAACGTCTAACGTCGTATACTTTTTCTTTCTTGCCGATGTGATTCGGTAATTATTATCAATTTTTCATTGGGAACTTATTGTTAACTTGGGATATCGTTTTATGTTTACATTAAGGAAAATACAATGTTGAATTATCTCTTATTTTCAATAAATTATTAACAACAAAGTAGTTTGATGAATCACGTTCAGAAAGAAATCATAGAGCAATGGGTTAAGAACATAATACGACAGTACAATAAGGTAGACTGAGGCGGATCACTGAAATAAAAATCCAGTTCACATTCGTTATATCGCCGGTCATACTTTTCTCTTTTCGTTTCTTATTCGTGAAAGATAAATTTAAAAATCCCATTTCATTCTTTATTGTTCAGGCTCAAGCGTTTTTATTTCGTTACTATCAAATAGGAAATTATCCGATTCGCTTCAGAGTACCCTATTATTAGACTGCGGAGTTTTATGTATTTATGCAAAATGTGAAAGTGCAAAATTGCACAGAATGCACGCAATTCAAAGAAAAATTTATAAAATATCCAAAGTGTAGTACTTTTCATAATATTTTTTTGAGAAGAACTATTTCCCGTCGCGAATCCACCGTTTTAATTATATTCTGAAAAATTTGAATTTGCATACAGATTCGCAGTCTATATATGATCAGATAAAAATGCAGTGACGCTAATGAAACGAATGGATGTTTGTCCGAAAATTTTTTATCGGACAACAACAACTGCGTAAATACCAAAATCGTTCCAACAGTAATAACAGTTACCAAGTGGTGGTAAGGACAGACACGATATTCCGGTAGCATGAATAGGTACATGTTTGTGCTGGAAAATGATTCGTCTGCACGAAGTTGTAACCTTCGGGTCGGTATGGATCTTGTTTCTGAATCTACGTTTAATACATACGGGAGATATGCGCTGCAAGTTTCTACAGCGATTCCCCTGTTGCCAGTCTAAAATGGATCGGTTTCATCAGCGACCCTCGGCTCTATCGCTCGCGCAACATGAATAAGCGAAAACACCATCGATACGATCTTGACGGAACTACTCGTGCAGTTTAACAAGGCAAATACGTGTAGGTTGCATTACCTCGAGTCCAGAATCTTCCACCATGGCCTCTTTGCTTTCATTTAGAACGTTTTGCGCTAAAATATCCCAATTATGTTTGGCATTCGATATAATTCGTTACGAATCACCTTCACTGCGTTCGTTTTCCAATGTTTTATTTGTAATTATTAAACTGCCGATTTTTATTTGAAATTTAAACTTTTCGTAGCAATTTGAGACAATGAGAATTGTTTAAAAAATTACTTCTTCTCCGTAGAATTTTATTAAGTGAAACATAAAAGTAATAGCACGCTGAAACTTTAAAGATTATTGGAAATTTCTTCTTTTTCTAATGAATTTAAATTTTGTTGTAATTGCTTTTTCACTGTAAACTGTGAGTTTCTCAGTTAGCTTGCCTGTTAATTCTGCATTTGATTTTTAATCATTTTAGGGTAAAATTATGTCAAAGATGCTCGATAGTACTCGATGATTACAAATGTACACCTAAACGAGTTTGCTGAATCATTTAACTTTAAAGTACCGTAATTCTGTCAATCGTCTCAACTTCTCTGTCAGACTTGATATATAATATTTTTGAAATATCAATCTATGAAAATATATTCGGAAAAGTAAATTTTATTAAACTTTCAAAGAGTTATGCTTCCATAAAGTAAATGTACTTTTCATTTAACTTTCTTTCGTTTCCAGCAAAAGTGCTTTAGAATATTCTAAAATAATTCATGATAGCAATGAAACAGTTTAGATCTTTTATTTCCATAACACTGGGTTATTCGCTACATTTAATAGTTCAATTAGTCAGAACGAACAAAATAACGATCTAAAGGCAACGAAAGAGCGTATTCAATTCTGTTGAAAAGTAACAGTGCCACTTTCAATGGGAGTGGTAATTGGTGAGGTTAAAGCGAAGCTGATTTCATCTTGCCGATGTTCAGCGGTTTCCATTCGTATCGCCTTTATGCAATCCAGTCGTCTCTTCTCTTAATCCTCTCCTTTCAGAGTGTCTATCACCGAAACGCGATTTAATCTCGTTACTAATCAACACGCAATTAACAAACCGACATGCACTCCAGAGATTCTATATAGAGCCAGAATGCTTATTAAGATCAAGTAAATTATCATAAATCCGAATGAAGCGTAATTTTCTTGTAATTCTTTTACTTCGAGTGCGCTTTCCATCTCTTATTCGAATATTACAGCAAGGAAAAGTCACGTTATTGAGGTTCTTACTAGCCTATGGATGTAATTAGGTTGACATCACAATCATTTTCATTGTTCTAAACGAGACCAAAATTTTTATGTGGTTCCTAATAACTCCATTGTTAAGGTTAACACTGTAACTTAAATTAATGTGTAAAATTGAAGTGAATAAAGTTTTATCACTTAAAATAGCTGATCATTTATAATCGAAATATTTTTATTATTACTTAATTAATTGTATGAATAAAAATTATGATTATTTTATATATATCCATTGCGAAATAAATATTTATTTGTTGAAGGTTATCGAAATTTTGATTAACAATAAATGAAATTAGCTTTTCAGATTAATAATATTGAATAATTACGAGACAGTCACGAAATGATCGGGTGTGCAAACATTTTTCACTTAGAAGTTTCAATAAGTAATGCATGGTAAACGGCAACGGAATTTTTGAAAGTTCAGATTTTCAAATGTATGTACTACGGATATGCAGAATTTACAATTTCTAATCATGTGTTATTATTGGCATAACTTACGTAAAATATTGAAGATGTTTCTCGATAAATAAATATGAACAATTCATTTGTTTTATTTAACTCTTGAATAAAGTATCAATAAATGGATTAGAAACTTAGACTGTGTTTTATAGCGACTTTATCATCGTTAATTTTGTTTTTTATTGATTGAAACATTACATTCATGAAAGATGAACTCTGTATTTCAAATTAATTACGAAATCCCAGTGACAACTACAGCTTATTTAAACGTAACGTTGTTGCGTAAATGTTAATGAAATTTTCAGAGGTACTACAAACCAAATTTCGAACAAATGTCCCTATCTGCAACGTTGCAGTATAAACAAGTACGCATTTCCAACATTATGGCGCTATTAGGTATTATTAAAGGATTATGGCCGTTAATAGATTAAAATTAAATTATATGCGTGATCAGTTTGAAAATCATAAAATACGCCAACGAAATTCAGGTATTTGATTATTGACATGAAAATCTACACATAGAATAAACACTTCAATTCTTTTTTTACGAACAGAAAAACACTTAAAAATGAACATGCCCTGTCGCATCGAAAATTCTAAATGCAATTAAATCGTCAATGTGAACATCATTGACGCGAACTGTTGATAAAATACTTCCTCTTTATCGTACAAATTTACATTGCTCCAAATCGCCCGTCGAGAAGCAAGCAGCCTTCCATTCTCGCATCTTTATTTCATATAAAGTCCGTTTATACAATAATCTTTACAAGATTGAATTCTCTATTTCCGAATGTTCGGATCGTATATCGTTTACCGAACGTCTTTGCGTTTAGCACACTCGAGACAGATAGTAACCACGGAAATTATTCGGGTAACCGTTTTAAGAGTAAACAAGAAATACTTGCATGCGTATAACGAATTCGATTAACCACACTTTATAAAAAGTGGGAACAAATATTTTTTATAAAAAAAATTATATGGTTTTGTATCTGTAACTACTGAAAGCGATAGATCTGACAAGACATTAAAAAATTATCGAAATCGGATACAGACCTCTTTTCCAGAATAATTACCGAGATTAATCCTCTCCCTGCCTGTGCGCCGTGAATCTGATCGCGAACTTTCACGAAGCTTTGTTTCGTGAACAACTGGTATCTATTTCGTAGCAGTCAACACCCGTTTAATTGAACCGTTGAGTTCATCGAGATCCTTCGCAACCATCGTCCGAAGTATTCTCGTCACGTACCACTTGTAAACCTCATTTAGATCGTAGAAGAGCTTTGAAAGTTGGCAAAGTTCACCGAGTAATCTTAAGACAGTCATTATCTTCGCAAATTGTCCCCCAAGCTGTTCCAATCTCGCCCCCTTGTCGCTACCCTTGTCATATAATTCTACAGTCTTAGCGAAATTAGGCAAGAACGGCCATTAAATCCTTTTTCGAGACGAGTGGCGGGGACATTAAGGGCGAAACTCGTCGAATATCGTTTTGATCGAATCACTAAATTCTTATCGATCTATACGTTATTCGGTCTTCGCGTTGAATTGCCACTCTCTGTAGTATACATCGTGAAACATCCGGGGCTCGCGTGTAACGATGAATATTTTGAATCCATTGATTTAATTCCATAAAAGGTCTTGAAAAATATAGTAAGTTTTGATCTTTCAATGATTCGATAGAGCTACAAAGTATTAAAAGTTTTGAAAGTCCTGATGAGATGAGGTGGGCTGATAAACAAGCAAAAACCTGATCATTATGAAGTATTCGAAATTTATTAAGACTTTCAATATTTCTTAGCACGAATCGTTCAAAGCTCAAAATTTACCAAGTCTTTCAAGAATATTATAGAGTCAAGTCACATTCGAAGTGCTTCGAATATTCACAGTATTAGGAAAGCTTCGAATCATTTCGAATTCTGGAATTCGATTGTTCATCGCTATTCGTATAGCGTTCGTCGCGAAACGCTTGATTCGTTGTTGCGTGTTCTCGAACATTTCCTGGATCGTCTGGTATCCAGGGATCATCTACTGACTCGGGCGCGTCACGCCTTGAGCCAAGTGTTACGTACGTTTCATGTTGCACGAGACTCTTCTCTGGAGGAGCACAGGGATGGGATTACTGCTCGTTCATCCCGACGCGACACAATATTGTTGGGTGAATTGGAGACACCAGTTGGTTTAGTCGTGTCCAGTAGTAGGGTAGACGCACCATTTGTGGATCCATTTAAAGGATTTTTCAGAGTTACAATGCTTTTATTTTGGGAATTGTGTGGAACGCGAGAAAATTATGTTTTAACACTTTGCGATCTTATATTCGTACAGGCTTGACATTATCATTAAAATTGATGTTTACCGTCATACATAAACATAAAAAAGCAATACCATGTATTAAATGTGTAGAATGAACTAATAAATTAAGTAAAAGGAATTATGTTAAAAATATATAAACACATTTTTAAAATTATTTTTTATATATGGATCGGTGGGACACTATTATTCATTTACGTTACTTTTTTGTGGTCCTTTAGAAGTGAAATAGTTATGTTATTAACAACTTTTGCTGTATTTATTCGTAATACCATAATTGTGTTATACGTATATGTGAATATAATTGTTGTGTTTTTTATTGTTAGATGTTTTCAAATAAACTATTAAAGTAATATTTTTAATTGTAATTAAATAAAGTGATATTGGTGCAATTTTCGGATTGAAATACCGTGAGCACTTTGGTTTCAGAAGATTCATAGATTGTACAAGGTGTCCTATAGGATTTCGTATAAATTTTGTTAGTATTCCTTTTCTCTAAATAAGTTTGTTTTTCTCGTCAATTTAAACTGTGTCGTTACTACTCACTTCATTTCATTTGCTTCGGTGTTTCCTTGGCTTTCACGATGCCTAACTGCGGAATGTAAATATTCCTATTAGCGACCAATTATCATTATGAGTTTCAAAGTTAAAGTATTTCAGCCTTTAATTCAGTAGGTGCTGATTGGTCGTCGTAATTGGTGATACGTATAACTTATATGAAACTTCTAAATCACACTTCCTGTTAGAAAATTAGACGGACATTAGTAAGTCTAGGTCGATGATTAAAACTTCGAAGTCGTTTATTCTATATCAATAGAACGTTTAGAGTCACAAAATGATAGGTACGCTACACAACGGGAAGTATTTAACTAGCAACTAAATGGAAAAGGAAAACGTCCTTGTTAATCTGTCTTCAAAATTTCACAATCAACACACGTAACTAACATGTTAAATATTTTTAGAATATATTTAGAACACCATTTACGTCGTTTATATCATAGTATTATGTTTCCACGTTTCAATCAGTCAGTACAGAAGATACAATTGCTGAGTGTTTCCATTGTTCAATACGCCAAAACTAATTTTTCACACATTTACTTCCAAAAGAACATTTATGTCAAACCGATAAATAAAATTTACATAAATAATAAGCTACTTCAAAATAAAATAGACAAGGAAACATAATGATGAAGAAGAACGATAACCATGGAAATGATTAAAACAGTTGCACTGATCCCAACCGGCACATCTACCCCACCCCGGACTCCGCAACCACCATTCCACAAAAAATATACATTCCTGTCCAATCATTGATAAATGCTTGCCATCCTCGCGTTACGAACATCCCGAAACGATGAACACCACCATCACCTCCCCATCCAATTCAAAGCTCATTTATTCCCGCGGTGCTATCAGTCTCTGATCCCGAAGCTTTCGCCCGGTCATTCTATCACGAAGAATTACTAGACCCTCCATTTGACCCCATCCATCCATCGGATCCATCCCACGAACGCGGTTAAATGTTCCCCGGATCCTTCGTCCGACACGGAATCGTTCGGGTTTCTTAATCCTCGGATCTTTTCGGCGTTCGGCGATCGTTAGGATCACCTGTTGTCCCGAAAGATTATGGGTGAGCTTCTTCGTGCGCGGCTAGCGGGAAGGCATTCGCCGGAGGAGACTCCGACAGGCATTAACTCGTTCCCTGGATCGGACGCAGCAGGATGGCCAGGACAAGGGGCAGGAGGACGCTGGTCGGTGAACGGCGGCCGGCCGCTTCGGGGGGCGCGGCGGATTTCGTAGGTGGATTTCTGGCTTGGTCATTCATCACGTCGCTGGATATCGCGGCGCTGTTCGGCTCCGCCGAGGGACAGCTTATCGGGACGCTCATTGTGTCGTTGCTCGACGTGGAATCTCGGGAGCACCGGCTCGCGTGGTGGCCCAGGCAGCTTGCGTACGAGATGGCGTGCGGTATATAGCTCTGGTCAATGCTGCCGGAGAACAAGACGCTCGCCAGCGGACCTATGGCGTACACCGGCACGTCCTCCCCGCCATGAGTCGCCCAGGCTCGTGGCACTCCTGCCGTCTAGAAATCAAAAGGAAGTTTCGTTATAGGTGCTGATGGAACTAGCGGGCAATTAATTTTATTGATTTGTGTTTTATCATGTTGTACAGCTAGCTGGAGTGGTTTATATCCGTTGCTATTGTTTTATGTTGTCCCAAAAGTTTCTTTAGTTTTATCAATGTCTAATGAATGCACAATATTTTATGCCGTGTTTTTAGATTCTGCAGTATCTATTATGATTTGTTATCGTTTTTCATTTTTCTGGAAGCTTTATAATGTCATTTTTTTATAACTTTAAGCACACTAAATATCGCGAGGAGAATGCGCGTGAAACCTATGGGACAACCTCATACAACTGAGTTGCCTGATTTATATTTGCTGCTATTGTACAGTTAAATGAATATGTTTCTAAATTGTACAGCTAACTTGATTGATTTACTTTTGCTTGTATTATAAAAGTTATAATAGCGCGTTTGTCGATACATTGATTGATTTATATTTTAGTACATACGGAGCTAAATAAATTTTCATTCAATATTCTCCTAGGAAAGTATTTTTTTTCTGTTCAATGGATAATTGATAAGAGAAATCTGAAATGGCTTGTTATGCCGCGTTTCGTACTCCTATTGTTAATGTTATGTTTGGTTCAAGGGTTAATTTAATGCACTTTAAATTCGAATATTTCATTATCAGCTCAGGATTATAAAACACTGACATAACTTCTAGTTTATAAATGGATTACGCACATTTATACAGATAAAATGTTAATTTATAGTTTAGTAATGGACTGTGAACACTTATACAGGTAAAATATGCAAGAGATACATACAGTATTTAATATATGCGCAAAGCATGCTGAATACTATTAGCTATGGTACATTAAGCTGGCGATGTATTCTTCGAGTCACGCGATTGACAAATGAACTTTGTTCCATTACATATCTAGTAGAAAATTTTGTAACAATGTAGCAGAATAATATCCGTATTTATTTCAGTTCATCGAAATGAACTTTGCTTATGGAAAATTCAAACTGTTTCGAAGATCGTACAGAGCATTCCAGAACGATGCAAAAGATTTAAATTTGGTACGGTGTACTTACTTAAACATTCTTTAAAAATACACAATTTCACCCATATGTAACGTAACTGACAAAGATTATTTACCGGGAGTTAAAGCGAAGTGAACTCACAAATATTCAATGTAAGCGCCTTTCGTTGCTCTGCAAATGTCAATACGATAATCTAATTGCTGCCAAACTCGTTTCAACGTATCCTTATCAAGGATTCCATCAATTTTGAAACTAGTCCGCCTGCCATGTGGTGACAGTGATGACGTCATTTGGACTCGTTAAAAAAAACTTGAGGATATTCCCGATCGTTTTAAATGCCACATTCGATCTGTAGTGATACGGTATTCCTTATGGAACTGCTCTGCGCGTTAGAATAGCAACTGTATACTAGTACGAGCAAACAGTATATGATCAGGATCCTAAAGACAGTAACTTAGTTTACTACCCAATAGTTCAGGAGAATGGATATTCCCCGTTTTCCATTTGTCCACTCCTTAGGGCCGAAATTAACCTGTTTGAAACGTGCACCAAAATGATAATCACAGAGCCGGAGTGCCAATAAATCACGCCATAAATTTCGTGCCGGACTGCGATTCACCGGCATGAACGAAATTCCAGTACGCGGCCTCGTTACTGAAATCAGGAGAGACGGTAGCGCAATTCCAACCTTCTAATTATGATACACGGCCAGCTGATACATAGCGACACCAGCGCCTACCACGTTCGATACATGGTTTCAGACGCAATATTATTTTTCAATCACCTCATAAATGTTCTCGTTTACGTCAAACTCATAGGATGTATCAAAATACTTGTTTTAGATGTTGGATCAAATTTTTTTAGTTTATACGTACGTAAGATGAAAATTGTTCTATTCGCATTTAAGGCTTTACCGAACTTTCGAATTCGTTGATGGGTACAAAGGGATTCGTCTAATTTAATTCATCACATATTCAGAAGTAGTATTTTCAAAATAAAAACAGAATTTTACAGTTAATATATATATTACTATAATAAAATCTCCACTATAATGCAAGTAAAATTTCATTGTAGCTACCTTTTTTATAAAATAGTGTTTAAAATTATGTATTTCCGTTAACATTCGTAGTGTACTTATTTTGTGTTGCGTTCATCTAAATTTAGATTTATGATCACATCTCATACCAACGATTCAAAATATTCTAATTACCACGTATTCGTCTATCCAAAGAAAATATTTTCAATTTATATGATGGACACCTTAATTGCAAAAATACTGCAATAATATTATAAAAAGACAATAATATTTGTTATGAATTATTCATATAATAATATTGTAGACATATTTTTCACTACGATAAAACTGATAATAATGAAGAACATTCATTACCAGTCACACCGTATAGTATCATAAGTCAATTTTCAATTGCAATGTTATTTGAATCATTTCTTTATTGAAATATATACGTGTTCCCAGTAATAACCTCTCACAGAAACATCAATCACATTTATCTCCACTTCAAACTATGATTACCGTATATTATATTTCTGATCCGCTGAATACCGCCGACATTACCTATCGCTCAATATCCCGCCACTCACCGAGTAAATACCCGTGCGATTTTCCAAGGCTTAACAGTTTCTTTACTTTCTTTGAATTTTTCTCCTTTTTCCCGGGGTCCTGTTTTCCAGTCCGCGCAGGGAAAAAGGAAGTTCGCGAGGGTGCTTTCAAAGTGTGGCTGAAACTCGGCCGATCTCTTTGACACGTACAGCTCCGCGATCAGATGAAAGAGCACATCTCGGCGGTAGCGGGGGACCGAGACCAAGGGGCGGAAATCTTTTGCCCGGAGGCCGCCAGCGAGCGGCGAAAGCATTTTTATCGAGCACACACCGCGGAAATACGCGTAAAACTTTCATCGAATTCGAAATTCCAACGGCGTGGCGTTGGGATTCGTCCCGGCAAAATCGACGCGCCGGATAAACTCGGCGAAGATCTTACGCGGCGTTTCCCATGATCGCCCACGGGCTTCACGGTTTCGGGAACGGCACTTTAACCCTTTATGGAAAAGGATATATGCGATGGTATTGTTTAACCACGGGGAAGCCGTGTGTAGTAGTTTGATCGGTACTTCGAGTTCTTTCTCGGGAATAGAGCACTTAGGATTGTCTGGTGTATGGCTGGTGTAATGTGAAATTTTATTAAGTATTTTCATTGCTTTTTTGTTGCTGTGTCATTTATACGAGCGAATCATGAAAAGATGTTTGTATTTTAGACAGTGACTCTATAGATGAAAACAAGTGAAATATGTTTTAGGAACTTATGTGCTCTGTACTTTAGTTCTCGAGTTGTACACGATTAACCTGCTAACTGTGAAATTTCGTTTCAAAATTGTTTTTTGAATGTTTGTATAGGCACGTCTAATAAATATCGTATCATCCTGAAGATATAGGAATCCCTCGCGTAAAATTATAATAAATTAGAATAAAAAGATCTTCACCATTTTGCGAGTTAAGAATCTGTTTTTGAGTTGCTAATCATTTAACGGAAACGTAAATTTCAACGAGTATGTGTATCCTTTTACTGAGTATATAAGAATTCCACGCGTAACTAGAATTTCCATTCCACTGTAACTTCCTCGATGCCGTTGCTTCGCATTTTCCCAAACAAAACCGAGCAGTGCTCGACTTTATTTCGTCCGATCCAATCTGTGCCTTAACGGGATCACGAAATGTACAATCCTCGGGAATAGCTCCTCGTCTCTATAAAACATACCCGCGTTTCGTGTGAATTACATTTACAACTTACTATTACAATCGGATCAAATAGCAAGACACCGACTGTTGCGTAAAGTAGTAACTCTGTTTATAACACCGATCTGTGGAACGTCATTTCCGTCCTCGGGGCATTGACGAAACAGAGCAATTCCAGGAGGAAACGGCGACTGGCAAGAAAACGAGCAAGAAAGACCTTGTCCTACGATAGTTCGGATGACGGATGACAAGTGCGCCGGTGCGAGATATTTAAGTCTCTCCCGGGCGAACAATAATTCCTCGAGATATCGTTCCGCTTTACTCGCACCATAGATTTCGGAGACAATCGAGCAACGATCGTAAGAGTTGTGTCCCTCTTCTTCTTCTTCTTCTTCTTTTTCTTCTTCTTCTTCTTCTTCTTCTTTTTCTTCTTCTTCTTCTTCTTCTTCTTTTTCTTCTTCTTCTTCTTCTTCTTCTTTGCCTCGCCCTCATCTTTCTGTTACCGTTTCTTTTACGGTTCGACCGTAAAGCTACGTCTTCACTGAGGCAACACCGACCTACTTTTTGTTGATTTGTATGTATGTGTCTATGGCGCCTCGATAGAACACGCATTTTTACCTGGGTAGTAGGCGTAGATCATCCCTGTTATTTCCAGAAACTGTACCGCGAGAAAATTGTCCGACGGCAACGACCTTTCTTCCGTTTCACCCTGATTTAGACTAGAGCTAGTATTTTTACTCAGATACCCGATTCCCTATGCCAGTATTTCTCAAAGGGCATGCCGCAACATTTTCCAAGTGCGCCGCGAAATCTTAACGAAAAAACTAGCGTCGTTTTTATTTTAAGATCATTGTTCGAATATACGTATAATACCATTAATAAGAAGAAATGACATGTAGGATCTTTTTATGACGAATTGAAATTGACATATCCGCATACAGGGGCGTCTACATTTTGCTCCCAACACTATATAAATAAAGACCAAATATTCTGCAACTCTCACATCCTGAGTCAATCCTAAAAGATAAAAAGTCGCAGGAGTAAAGGGACATTCAGCTCTTGAGATGAACTGCGAGTTGCTCTGTCTGAAATAATTTGTTGAGTTGTGATTCCGTTCTAGAAAGGGAGAGATAGGGTCTAAGATTCTAACAGCTAAACTACTGTATTCTGTGAAAGTATCCGTTTGTTGACAATTATTTTTCCAGATTTCTTTGTTTTCCAGTTGCCTTCGAACAGTGTTATAGCTTTCAGTCTTGAAATTCAAACAAAACTCTAATGTTCTTCAATGTTGTTTCAGTGAAGACAAACTTAAGCTTTATTTTTCCTTCTTCCATTCTTCCTCAGTTCCTGATACGATGTCCAGACAAGCCGGCGCTGCGTAATTCAATGCAAATGAATCACGCATCGATCCGAGGCCGACTTTCTTTCCGCTCTGGGCTGCGTTATAATTCTTGGCTGATTGTTGAGAAAGAGCGACGGGAACACCAATGACACGGGCAATAAAGCAAACCCGTTGCACGAGGAAATCTCATGTGGAACGGGAACAGAATGGCACGGGGAGACCGAGTTTCACCGCAGCGATCACCCCGGTAACGCAAGACAAAGTGGTAGCTTCGGCAAATCTTACGAAACGACCGTCTTACAAGCGGTACGTGTAACATCGGCTCACTGAGAGGGCTGCAGTATAAATTATGCGCAGCTTTCAGGGAAAAATTCAGAAACAAAGTGTATAAGTTCAACATTCTTACAGTCTAATGGATGTTTGTGAGTTAATTTTTTGTGAACAAGGATTTTCAAGATTTTCGAAGACCCCTTTTTTGGAAAATTGAATTGCACATTAATATTTCAACTCTCAAAATCTATTATGAGTGAAGTTTTAACTTGCGAGATTTTTATTTCAATATTATTAAAAGACCTAGATCGACGATACACATTTTCGAACATTTCTTTGGACAATTACTTATAGTAACGTTGTTATAAATCCGAGAATAATACCGAGATTTACATTTCCATACTCTTTGTTTCTAATGACAGAGTTTAATTTTAATACAGAATATACCCGCCTCTGCGTTTAGCGGCACTTTAATTACAATACAACAATAAATTACAATACAATACTATTCATGCGGTACTTTTTATACGTGATGTGAATTTAGTGACACTGAATAAAATTTACTTTTATTTTCTTATTTGTCATTATTATTATTGTTCTGTTAAGCTACACGAAATAAAAATCTATTTCAAAACTTACATCAGCTTCTTTTCCCAATATTTTGTTTCGTGTAAAACGAATCCACGTGAAACAGATACATACATTGCGTAAATGGAGGGACGGGTGTACGGTAAATCTTTACTTACTAAGCCGATATAAAGAAGATTTTGAGTTTATACAATGATGTGAAACGAAGGCAACAGAACGTTCCACTATTTCACCAAAAAATATTGGCACAAACAATAAACACTTCACGATAATACATACGGCGATATAAAGATAGAAAACTATAAAATATGTCAGGATTATTCGATCACGTTCTGTCCATAACGTTCAGGATACCAGATATTTACCTATACTATGTACTAGAATAACATTCGTTGTGCTGTATCACCTGTGTTTCATATTTATTTAATACTTTAATCTCAATAAATTATGTTTTAAATTGCGATCATCCAGATTATCTCTAATTCGGAGTATATACATATACCCGTATATAAACATGTATTTCATCCTACATAGTTTCCAGTAAAAAATGAACAATTTCTTCTGCTGTTCACTATCCTATTCCTTTTTTATGGGACGGTCTCTGAAGATGAACAGTAACTCGAATTAAAGCGCATCCGCGTTTAAATGCAATAAAAAGGATCGCACATTGAAACATTACAAATACCACAAAATATCGCTTGTTTGTGTAAATCAAAAATAAAAAAACTAACCTCACGCATAAATAAATTACTTGGAGGAGAATATTTAAATTATTGTAATTTACTTATTGAAAACATATCTATTATACCTACATAATCAAGCATAGTCATATATTTACATACAACAAATATTTATTACACATTTTGTATAAACCAATATTAGGTCTGTAACGTTTATGGTTCGTCTCTAGTAAAGTTTTGTTCCTTCCATGTATGTATAAGTATTTTCTTTCTCGTTTTATTTCGCGCTGCACTTACACCACAATGGTGTCATACAGACATACCATTATTATTATTGTTGCTGTTATTATTATTATTATTATTACTATTATCATCATCATCATCATCATCATCATCATCATCATCATCATTATTATTATTATTGTTGTTGTTGTTGTTATTGTTGTACTCTTACAGTTATCCTAATTTTAGCTTTTCCTATTCTCTCAGTTGCCTATTGCGAAACCTCGGGGAGCAAACCCCATAAAAATTTATCGTTCGTCTCGAAGGAAGTTAAAAATTGCAACCGTACGAACAAATTTCAAAGTCTGTACCGTCACACCATGGTTTCAAGCGGTGAACGGGCTACGAGAATGCAACGATTATTGCTTACCACCGCCATTATCCTCCAGCGATTTCGCCGCGCAAATGCAGACTTAAGTCGAGACCATGCTCGTCGAGAAAAAAATGCAGAATGTTAAGAAAATACGTCGCCAAAGTTTGGTGTTGTGTTCTATTGTGCGTAAGGAAGAAAAAAGGATTAACCCCTGGTACTACGATTTCATTTAAAACTGTGCCTGAATAAGCATGCGTTGTAATGCAGGATAATTATTTTATGAATATCTCAGTAATTCGTTTCGGACACTACATAGTATACTGACTCTTTTTCTGATTTCTTTCCTTTAACCTATTTACATCTTCGCTTTAAATGTGAAGTTTATTTTATAAACCAGAGATACTCAACTGAAAGTCTTCCAAGCTTTTGATTGAAATTAATTTGCTTCGACCGATATAGCCGAGTAACAGACAGACAACTAAAAGTACTTGTATGCGGAATATTGCGCTTTTGGTGATAAGCCACCGTTATTATGTGCGGATTATTCAGCTTAATGATGCACATGGGTTAAGGTAAACATACCAATAACTAACTTGTGAAGGTTACATAAATATAAGTATAAACGTGCTGACCGTATAACCTTAATTGGCTAGTTCTTGATATATTTACCTTACATCCTATATACGGATTCTGTGGGGTATTTACAACGTGTTTCTAATAATTTCATAGTATCAAAATGTTGATTGTTACTGTGTTATTTTCAATACGTGTGATGTAAAGTAGGTAGGTAAAAAAAAGTAGGTAAAGACACGTGACACATGAAATTTTTTTCATAATTACTTGAAAGCGTGATTCTGAAAAAGTCAAGTTTAAAAATTTATCGAGCATAGTATAGTATACTGTATCAGTCAATGTAATATGATCAAATTCGACTTTTTCGAAAACAAAGCTTCAATCAACAAAATTTCTTTTATATTTTTTACCAACGTTCAACTTGTAGAATAATTTCTTGTTAATTGTACCATTTTTGGTTCAGTTGGGAGTTGATCAACTGTAAATATGCTCGACTAAAATTTTCACACTTTATTTTCTGAGAAACGAGGTCTCAAGTGACAGAATCTTGTTCCATGTTTCTAATGAACATTTTTATGTTAAATCAGGTCTTTTCAAATTGAACCACCAATTACAGAAGACACGGTACTTACACATCGATAGATGAACAAATTGAAGACAAATTAAACACTTAAAATATGGAAAAGATGGAAATAAAGGTGGAAAATAAATTTGAAATATATCGCAGATAAATAAATTTAAAGTGAAGATTTAAAACAAAGTCTAAGATGAATAAATAAACTTAGCATAGATATGTAGAATTTATTTTATATACTCATTTAAAAAAATAAATGATTATATAAAATTATACAAACAAATAGATTTAAAATAAAGGTATGAAATTTTACTATAATAGTAAAATAGATAAATAAATCTAAAAGGAATTTTAAAAAAGAATCTCTGCAGAGTACTCCAAAAGAGTTCTTTTGGACCAAAAGATTCTTTTAAAAGCTGCAAAACGGTAGTGCGACTTGTGGCGCAAAAGAAGCGTCCGTTTCTATATTAATTAATGGAAATAATGGCACATCCCGTTGGGACGTTTCTTTTCTCGACACGCTCGATCGGTCGACAGCTCGAAGAAGTCCAGACCGGCTCGAGGCAAACGTTAACGAGCGCCTCGGAGAACGGATCAATGATAATTGCTCGCACGTTTCTCACGATTTTAATACATCCCCTCCACCAACCCCTTTGTCCCGTTCACTATAAATAACGACTCGTTCGAGCTGCGTCTTCGAGAAATTTAACCCCCGGATGGAAGTGTTTATTTTAACCCACAGTTTTGAAAACTTTATTTTACTTCTTTTTATTTGGTCATCCCATAAATAGTGTATTTTTCTTTACATTAACTTCTAGTATAAAAATTTAATATTTATGTTTGCTTTTAGTCATTGACATATTGACCGTCGTTGTGAATAACCTTTTCTCATTTTTCGGTTAATTTCTCAATGTCATTTCCGAAATAATACAAAGGAAAATAGGAAACAGTATTACTTATGGGATTACCTAATATTTATTTATACTCCGCGTTGCTTACGAGGACAAAATTGATATGCATTAAGCTTGTTCGGTAATTATTTGATTTAATAATCTATACATTATACAGATACGTGGAAATTTAAAATATACTCTTTGGAAGCATTTGAAAGTTATTTATATACGTCTGTACTAATACACATATTCACAACAGCATCTACATATAAAATAGGTTCAGGAAAGAGAGCTGCAAATTGTCTAAGGCCGAGTCTAACATCGTTACGAATAATTAAATTGAAATAATTTTCAAAATTGATCACTGACTACGCCACGAGACATCTCAATTATGCTTTATGCGCCTCAAATACAGCGTCCCGTGCTTCGCAGTTAGATTAGAACTCATCAAGCGTCGTAGTCGTATGACTTTAAAATATGCAATGGCGCTAGGGCGAGAGGGTGAAATGGTAAAAATGAGACCGAGTGAATATATGAAGTTCGAAGAGGTTCATCGAGTATTTCGCAACGGATTCTCGACAAAACGTGATGGATTTTTAAACGTGCCCCGGATATTTCCGCTCGATCATTTTCCGATCCAATAAACAGAAACGTCATATATACTACGGAGCAAGGAAATGAGCTGGCCTTTTTTACCTGAATGGAATCCTTCCCTGCCTCTCGCAAAATATTCCTCGGCTGCGCGTACCCGGGCCCATTGCTGTACAACAACGTTGTGTACGGCTGTCCATCAAGATCTGACACCTTGCTGTCGGAACCTGTGGAGAAAGAAGTACACGCGATCAGATCCTCAATCAGAAGAATATTATGGATCACGGAGTGAGTAGGTAATGGGTTAAGCGATTAAGGGTCCTTCCTAACATGACAGCTTAAATAAATCGATATTTCCTTACTACAATACTTTTTTTACAAACGTTGTACTTTAAAAATTGTCATCTGAAATATGTATATTCGGATGAATTTTAAACATTGGCGAAGATATAAGGTTTTAATATTTCAGTTTCTTGAATGCTTGTAACATTTGTCATTGCATAAATATTATTCTAAAACATTAGAGTGTAACATTCAACATAGTACTATTGTAATTTTCATATTACATTATATTTTATAATATTGCATAATGTAAATTATTATACGATAATTATGTAATGTCGATTATTTAATTATATAACCTTATAAAAGTCTGCTTATGAATTAATAATTTATTTGTAAATGGAGGAAAAGGGAAATGTTATGGAGAGAAGAATAAGAACAGAATTTAACAGAGTCTGTATATAGTTTTTTGTAATGAGGAAAATAAATACATTCTCAATTACAAAAAGTTACATAAAAGTGTTTAAAAGTCACATAAAATACTAATTGATCAAAGTATTCCTGTAATTGTAAGTTGTTTGCTTTCTGCACAAGTAGAATTTAATACAGCAGAATGATCAATACAGGTAACATATTCCTTGTACATTTCCTGTTTATGATACATCTTTTTGCTTTAAAGTCTGTTCAGATTTCCTCTAAATTGCTCAGTTGCGTTGGGATTACGTCGGGAAGCTGGGAATTACTATCCGAAGTGTAAAAATGAAGTCCAGGATATAGTATAAAATATTTAGAAGGACATCTCCCTTACAAATATAAATAAACCATTTAGGAGACTACATAAAATACAGCAACAAATTTTAAAAATATACAAGTTCCAGTTTTGCGAAAAATTGTTTTATATTGTAACAAATATTTTCATGAAGATTTTAGTAAATTGAATAAATCAAGGTGAAGCTATTAATACTATCTACACAAAGTTGATTACTTGTTCTTACCCCGTAAGTTATGCAAAGCTTCTATATTACTAGAAATGTTCCAACGTAAGTATTTTTGGTGTCTTCAAAATTGAAGGACATTCTATACTGTTCTGTCTAACGCAGGCATTTGCAAATTATTCCAACCATGAGTATTTTACGTCGAAACAAGATAGAACCGGAAAGCCATTACAACCTGTCGACAAAAACTTAGGGAAGAATGCAAAGACGCAATCACAGTCCCCTACCTAAATAAAGTAGTATTCCAAACATCTACAACGGCGAATTTCGCGAGTGAACTTCCCTATCGTTTATTAAATCTGTGTTCCACGAGGCGGAAAATGTTTCGAACTCTTACAAATCTTTTATACACACTCTGCCTTGACGAGTCGGTGTGTAGTTGCACGGGTAGCTGAGTAATAAGCACGGACGAAAAAACAGAATGATCCTTAATGAGCTTAAAACTCTCGAAGCAAAAGAAAGGAAAATAAAATGTTTCCGACCAACTCGGCCGAGGGATGTGAGGGCAGTGGTCGCAGAAGGCACTCACGGTTTTAGTTCGCAGCGCTCGGACATTCCAAACTTCGACAACTGTTATATGCTACACTTTGAAAAAGGAGTACTCAAGGATAGAGGTCATGTATTCGAATTATAATATTTCGTTCAATTTTGTTCATAAATGAGTATTCCAATATCAACACCTACAATGAGGTATGCTGTAACGAACGCAATTGATTCACAAAAATAGCTATTTTTTCGATTTAAAATATATTTCTTACGTTATTTTGATACTTTTAAAAATATAGCCCACGCGCGCGATTTGGTAGCACTTGTTATGTTATGCAATCTTCATTTGAAATAATATAATACAAATACAATACAACTATAAAACTCGCTCTCTTAACTTCACTAACTCGTACTATCCTCGGAATGATGTTACGGCGTCCGTGATTCTGCATCTTAAAAAG